TAAATACATTCAACTTTTACAGCAATCTGGTGTTTGCAAATGGATATTCGATGAGGTATGATTCTGTTTGAGCAGTAGCTGACATACTTTTTTCCAATGTTAATTATTTGTTTTTGATATTCATGCTAGAGATGTGGGAAGAGAGCTGTCTTCCACGTTTTGTTGGATTCTGACATCTTTAATTGTCATGAAGCTTTTAGCTGTCTGTGAGACAAGCTTTCACTACCAGGACAAAGTCCGTCCTTTTTCTTACGTTGTACGCATTGCATCAGAGATGCGGGTAATTGACTTCATTTCTTCCCTTTCCTCTTTAATTTATCTTTTTCTTGTGAACCCTCTTTAATTTGTTTACATTTTACCAATGGCTATCTTGCATCGTTTTCCCTTTGAAAAACTCCTCTTGGTTAGTCTATATTTATATTGTATGATCGCTTCTTCTGGTATTGCTTTCACAAGGATTTTTTCTTTAAAAATAAAAATGGCCACATGTTGTCATGGTTATGCTGTGCTAGTGGAAACACACTATAAGCAAAGTTTTTCTTGTCCAAGTTATTGTAAATAGGTCCAAAATACCTGAGATCTCATACATCACAAGATGCTGGTTTCTTTCTTCCGTAGGGTATTTTTATTGGGAATAACATCAGAAGAATGTTATTTCTTAAAAGTATGAGTTATTTTTGGCTAGTGTATTTCTGTTGAAACTTGAATGAGAGTAGATGGTATGTTATGTGATACTTTTTAAACAAAATTCTGCTGATCACCAATTATTTTACCAGTCTAGTTGATCTTCAATCACATAAAAAGTACTAACATGTAACCCCTAAATGTACCATTTATTTCCAACAAGGGAGAAACACATAAAAATCCTTTTTAAAAATAATGTGGACTTTAATCTATTGTGCTTTTAAAGTTTCAAAGTCCTATTCTTTGGCCGAAAATGTTTCAAAGTCCTTGTTTTTATATATATTTTTTCCGTTCACTCACATAATTGTTTTTTTTTTTTCCCATCAACTCTTGTAATTGTTAGGTATTGAGTGCTTGAGTTTTTCTTTGTTTCATATTTTGTTGCCTTATAGGGTTGATCATCCCAGATTGAGTTTGTATGACCATTACTATGACTAGACTACATGAGCCTACTAGTCTCCTGATTGCATATCTTCTCACTTTATCAACAAAAATTAACTGGGCCACGTTATAACTGCTCAAACAATTGTTGTCTTTCACATTTCTTGGACCAAGGACGTAGTTACAACTTGGACTAAAACTACAACTGAAGGATAACCATCCTAATAGTTCTATTCTGCAATTCTGTATTGAACTTGATTAATCTAATTTCTATATGTTTAAATGATGCTTCTGAAATTGTTTTTAGATGTATCCTCCAAAAGACTGGCTTGTGAGATCATCAATGCCTTCAAATTTCAATCAAGACATCATACAGATGGTACTTAATGAGCTTTCTCCGGATAAAGTCCGGTAAGCACTATAGGAAACTTTAGAGTAGAACAAATCTTGTTGCGTTTACTTGTATTGCTTTCCAATTTGTTCGCATGCTTTTTATATCCATATAATTCAACAACTGATCATCTTGAGTGGTGATCTAGCTATCTTATTTGAAATTGGTTGAACAAGAAAGGCTGTCCACATACGTTATGGTGAATGTTTAGATAGATAATAGTGGTAAATAGTGAATCAAGAAAAGAAGGTTGTTATTTATGTGATATATGCTGCATTATTCTAGATTTTAAAGGATTTATATAAACAATTTAATACATAAAAGACATAAATGGTAGTATGTAAGCTGAATAATTTAGTATCATATAGTTAAAGAGTGTTAAAATAGTAGTCAACAGTTTTAGTATGTTTTATTAAGGCGGAAGTGAGTGTTCAAAAATTAATGCAATTCTTTTCTGATGTTCACTTTTGGGTGCAGTTCATACATTAGACACAAATAAATTCTCAAAAACTTCAATTTCTATTTTTTATTGAGGATTTTCTAATAAAAACAAAGTAAAAAGAAAAATCTAAACCATAGAAATGCATAAACAATCCATGCCTCTTATTTTGACATATTTCTCATAATGCCGCAACTAGCTGTCTGCATTTTTCCAGTTCAGAGGTGGTTTTGGTTCGGTGTGGTTACCTTTTTCCTGATTATCTCCATGGTTGACAGAATCTTCTGGAAGTCAAAGAAATTTGAAGGGCTTACCGAGATGGTGGAACCATGGTATGGTACTGCATATTCCATTGAGAAAGTCACTACCTCCATGATTCAGGTTTGCTAATTTTTGGGTTTATGTGTAATGCGTGATTTTTCATTGTTAGATGTATAGTGAGAAAATTTCACACCTAAAGTTAGGGGGAAACCTCTGGTCTTAAATACAATGGGGAGTATTCACTTATTGCTAATTGGTTTTAGGTTGGATGTTTGCTTTCCATACTTAATGATGTTGGAAAAATATCAGATACCTACAAACTATATGGTATTATGGTATGGATTTCCACTTACGGGGATAAACTTGGAAAAAATGATCATATCTCTGTTGCACAGTTGCCTTTGTTTGAGATGAACCATAGCCCCTTTTTACCGTAGCTAAATTTCAAATTAATTAACCTGCTTGGTTTTTGTAATTGGAATCTTTGAAATTTAAGTGCCTCGTGAAAAATTTGGTTGCAGGAGTGGATGTTATTGGCTCCTAATGAGAATCTGCATCTACCAGCACCTAATGTCTTCATCCCAACAAATTTGTCACTTAAAGATCCAGTAGAAAAGGTTTGATAATCCCCCAGTTTGGTCTTGCACAATCATTTATGAGTAGTTTTTCTGATTAATTTGAGTTGGGAGCAGATCAAGTATCCAGTTTTACTTAGGAAATCATCCTATTCAAGGGTCTGATACAAGCCTGATACAATGTTCTCCTCTCCTAAGGCATTTGTTAAGATAGACTTCAACTGCCCCTACGCTAGAAATTCCCCTGAAGCTCAAGTTCTTACATCAATTTTTGCCAAGTTGGTGATAGATTACTTGGATGAATATGGTAAGTTAGATAGCATTCTTGTTGTGGCTTGTGATCAAATAATTGAATAAAGATTTTGACAATGATTAGTATATACTTTGATTCAATATATTGCATAATATATTTATTAAAAATTATTATTTTTTGGTCTAAAATTAAAAGTAAATAAACTTAAAAATACAATCATACAACATGATACAAGAATTAGCTGAATCAATTGTACTTATATTATATTTTAAAAACCAAATTATTTCTACAGGGGCTGAAAGTGTATTGAACTTAACGTGTACTAATTATTTTCATAAAGATTTACCATTCTGCATGGTAAAATTATAAGTTTATAGACTTTAAATATGCAATGGGGTTTCAATTTTCCCTTTCGTTGCATGGGCTACTGTCTTCCACGTTATTTCTACCG